CAGTGCGCTTAGTGGTGATCCTATATCACAGGCAATGGCACCCCAAACCCTGATGGCGCGTCCTCGCCAGTGTGGCCTTCGATAGTTGCGCCCGGATTGCACCTGTCATGACATCACCGCCAGACTCGTACACGCTAACTGACACTGCTTAAACGAAAGCTTGACTCGTCAAAAAAAAAGGCCACCCTTATGCCACTCCAAAGTCCATGTGCCTCTATCCGGATAGCACCGCAAACGAAGGCGCCTATGCTGTTGGCTGAATGGCAGCCTTCTTAGCGGACGTCATGCATGTAGCCCCATCGGCAAATTGTGTCTCGGTTAATATGGAAGCATGAACACTGTCCTGCATCTGCTGCAAAATGTGGACAGAAGTGGCCTGCAGGAAGCATTTTCGCCATAGCACTGTAGATGCTTGTAGGTTCCTGTCCGCTACAGAGTATAGTATCAGTCTAACAGGATTAATCAGTGTAACAGCATTATCAGTGCACAATATCAGCATCTTGTATCTTGTAACAGCATCTTGTATCTTGTATTACAATATGATATTTGTCTTATACCTTACCCTTGTATGGCCGTGTACAGTCAAAAGTTTCTAATAATCTCCCGACGTCAAGCTCCTGGGACTTCGGGGAATTCTTCCGTTATACAGTTGCACATTCCGACGATACCCGAACGGTCCTTGTAAGCCGTTGTTACCTGTCACCCGGACCCACACTCAGCTGCCCCCTGCTATCCGGCGCAGGGACTAACCTTCTTCTCACTCCGATCACCATACCCCTGCTGTACTCGATTCTGTGTTGGCAGTATTTCGGTTTGAAAACAATTTTCAAAATGATTGTTCTACTGGACGAAACAGTAGAACTATTACCGATTCTGCAGATTATTTTCCTTATTTCTCGTTTCACTTGAGAGAGAATGCAACGCATTTCGCATCATTTGCATTACTTTATACACTGTGCCTACCCTGCTATTAGCATTTTCTTCAAAATATGCGTTCATGGTGTTGCATTTTTACTGTCAAGTAGCATATATATGCATATATATATATATATATATATATTGTGTTTTTAATGTTTATTTATAACTGTCGTCGAACATACTCTCTCTTCTTGTGTTTCCTTTTCACAGTCATTCAGAATTCTTATTATATCTTTTAGAATTTTACCCCCAAAAAACAATTTTTGAGTTGTGGTAGTTACAGCTCATTACGAAATCGAAATGGAAAACACATAATTTATTCCCTTTTTATTAATTTATATTTAGAAGCAACCTAATGAAATCTGCTTTTCTGCATCAGATGAGGTACATTAAGGCATGTATTATTTTTATATTAAAGCATATTTTTCTCTATCCATTCAAAATAAAAATTATTGTTCTCGAATTAACACCGTTAACGGATAAACGTGTTTATGCAAACTAATAATTTTAAAATAAAAAATCACTTTTTTGTTAATAATAATATAGGTTTTCTGTTCGAATATGGCAAAGCACGGAAGGCTGCATAAGAAAGGTGTTGTTTGTTTGACCCGTTGGGGATTAAATTAAGGTAGAACATATGAATGCTATCTAGTGCTTAAGTGAACGGGTGTCTTTGTGGAGGAATTTCTAAAGAAAATGGTACATATTCCTATTAACGTGGGGGAAAACAATAAAAATATCCATACAGCAATTCTGTTCACCGGAATTTGAAACCGATTGGCACTACCAGCGTACAGCAACCCCCCTACTTAGCCACTGGCCACGCCTAAGTTTATGAGCACTTTTAATGGGAACTAGCTCGTACATTCTTTTTCACGAAATGAAAAGGTCCAAGTAGAAAACCCATTTGCCGGGACTCGAATCCGGGTCGAACTAGTGCTCAGCAGTCAGATAACTCGCTCACTAGTGAGCTATTAGTAACAAGAAATCTGAGAACATGAAAAAATTACCTTCAATTGCCAAAGGAAAAATAGACGATTTGTAGAAAACGTGAAAACTAAGTATTACATGTGTAATGTTATGAAATAAAAATAAAATTAGTTATTAATTTCAGTAAGAAGTGAACCAATTATTAAAAAGAATTAACAACGAAGAACAAGAATTAAAATTAATACTAGCAGGTATGCCCGCTAGATGAGCAGGTTTCGAACAAAGAAAAATTTATAAATTTTGTGTACCCCTGAAAAGCAAACGTATAAAAACTTTTCAATACGAATGAAATCAGTTAATTTTTTCCAAGCAACAATCAACCCGAAAATATTTTTTTTAATTACAAAACCAGGAAACGAAAACTTTTGACACTTCAGGTTGATACGTATGACATCATGATTTAAATTTAACCTAATATAATAACAATTTCTCAATATCAATGAAAAGAACCAAAAAAATTTGCCTACAGCAGCTTTTTATTTAAAATCCTGATATTAACGAAACATTTTCGACATGTTATCAAGAGCTTTCTTCAACGTTAGAATATGACCTGATACAATAATATGTTTAATGTTTGGCAGTACTATTTTTATTTCATATTCTGTAAAACTTACAATTTTTTTATTAACAAGCTCTACGATTTGAAAGCGAGCAGTAGCAACACTTTTCGAAATAAAGCATTTTTACCTCGAACGCACAAGACTGTTACCACTCGAAAAAATGAGTGCAAAAATTAATGTTTTCAGAATTTTTAATTAATATCTAGGCTTGTGCGAAGATGAGAAGTAGTCAAAGTGGCTTCTCACGAATTTTTGGAATCCGGGATTACCTCTCTCGAAACGCAACTCCCCGCCTTTCTGGAGGAGATAATACCACAAAAAAACAAAACAAAACAGAAAAACACGAGCACAGATTTTAATAGTATAGATAGTATTATTTACAATTTAAAACAGTGTTTGAAGGCACAGAGTATTGCCAAAGAGAGTTCGAGAACTAAACATTGATTTCAGAAGGACGCTATTTCCAGTGTTGTTTACTTTCGCATATTCCTATAAAAAATTAACATCTCTGAAGAAATCATTTTTGCATTTCATTAATATTGGCTTTAAAGAAATTATCTGCTTTTTGCAAATACTCTTATCTATATTAATAATCTATACTATCAAATTCTGTGAACGTCTGTTTGTTTGTGGCAAACAAACAGACGTTCACAACAAACAGACGTTCCAGAGGAGATAACGTCCGCAAAAAAACAGACGTTATCTCCTCTGGAACGGTGGGAAGTTAAATTTCGAGAGAGTAACCCCAGGATTCTAAAAATTCGTGAGAAGGCATTTCGACCATTCTCATTTTCGTACGACTTCAATCAACCGAGATATTAATTAAAAACTCTGAAAACGCTAATCTTCGCTTTCACTTTTTTCCGAGTGGAAACAGTTACGCACGCAAAGAAATGAAGATCGATTCCATACATGAAGAAATACTTTCTACTTGCCATAACTTATTCCAGAAAATGCAAAATTCAGAATACCACCCTATAAGAGAACTTGTAAACTGTGACCCAACTATTGAACATATTGTCAAAAGGCCAAGAAACATTCATCACAATCCAAAATGGTAAATTTTTAATTGTTTCTGAACCTTAAATCTTCAAATTCCCCCTACAACAGTTCAAAAGACTCTTTTAGTCGCTAGTGGCGGCACTCGTCCATGGACTCGCCTTTTCGTCCTGAACACTCCTGTACTCTTAGACATTTAAATAATACCAGCGCCCTCGGGCAGAAACTTCAAATATAGGTAATAACATATTGTAAATGCTAAATGCCTATTGTACCCTGATGACGAATGGCCAACAATAAATATATTTATTTCGAAAAGTGTTGCCATTACTCGCTTTCAAATCCTAGAGTTTTTAATATAAAATTTGTAAGTTTTACAAAGTATATATATATAAAGAAGAAAGTCTATGTCTTTGTTCGCGATAAACTCACTCACTACTATAGCTATCGTCACCTGACTTCTACAATTCTTTCCTAGGTCCTGGAAAAGGCCAACGGCCACTTTTTTTCAAACAAAATAGCTAAAATCAGAAATATTAATTTAAAACTCTGAACGCACTAATTTTCGCCCTCATTTTTCCGAGTGGCAACAGTCTCGCACGCTGGAGATAAAGCTCTGCTATTTTTTAGAACTGTTGCCACTCACTTTCAAATCATAGAGTTTGTTAATAAAAAATTCTTAAGTTTTACAATGAAATAAAAAATAGCATTGCCAAACATTAATTCCACTATTCCACTATTCCCATCTTCGTACGACTTTAGTCAGCTGAGATACTAATTAAAAACTCTGAAAACACTAATTTTCGCACTCATTTTTCCGAGTGGCAACAGTCTCACGTGTTGGAGATAAAAATGCTTTATTTCGAAATGTGTTGCTACTGCTCTCTTTCAAATCGTAGAGTTTATTAATCAAAAATTTGTAAGTTTTACAAAATCTATGTAAATAATGAAGAATGCCTGTTTGTATGCTTGTTTGTTTCTTCGCATTATTGATTTCTGGTCAATTATGATCAATTTTTTGCCACATTTAATCGACCGAAGAAGCACGTGATTGCATGTAACGTCATTGTATGTCAAAAATTTTATTATATGTTGTTATAGTATATTAAATTTAAATCATGACGTCATACGTATTAAGCTGAAGTGCCAAAAGTGTTTGCTTCTTGGTTTGGGAATAAAAAAAGTATTTACAAATTCGCTGTTGGTTGTAAAGAATGAACTGATTTCATTCATATAAAAATGTTTTTATATATTTCCTCTTCAGGACTACATAGAACTTTTAAATTTTGCTTTGGCTGCAGCCCGCTCATCTGACGGGCTTGCCCGTTACTTACATTTAAAATACTGATGTCAAAATCTTATCATAGGCATTACAACTTTAAAATGTTATTCAAATAAACAGATTTTCTTTTTATGTTCAACATGAATTCCTAAATATATTTTAATTATCACTCTCAGTGGATAAGTAAATATGAAATTAATTTTTATTACGAAATATCTGATTATTTTCCTTTTATTTTCTTACTTCCACAGATTAGGTGTGAAATTATTCCTGACCAACTTACGAAGTTGACCTAAAAGGAGGAGAAACTTTTCTTTCCCATGAAGAAAGGAAAATGCAGAGCAACGAAGATGACCTCGAAACCGTGCGGTCTAACTTGACAGATGATCGTGGTCGCTCCAGATCCCCCGCCACAACCAAGTTCCCACCGTATTTTGTTCCCCGCCGCCCACGTGTTATCAAGATGCGTGACCTGAGTCCTGCCACCAGAAACATGCTTACCAAAGAGTACTACGACGCTTATGATCCTTGGACGGGTATACGCATCGCAGCTACGTTGGGTATTTTGATCAGCCTTTTCACACTCTTCCTTATCTACAAAAGCAGGTTTAACAAAAGCAAAAACGTCTTACTTCCTTCCAAAAAGACGTCTCTCTACCTCTACGATGACGATATAGCGGATGGTGATTTGGGAAGTCTTGGATCTAGTGATCATTCCAGTGTGCTTGGTTACCCTTTCACTTATAATAAAAACAGCGCTGTCGATAGGATGGGATTTCATATTCCTGAAGGATTTCAGCTGGAAGAAGTTCTCGTTAAGTCTTCCCTTGTGGAGTGCGTAGCTCTCAAAGTGCACCCTTCTGCAAAGAAAACCTCGAAAGGACCCAAATTTGGGACCCTGAGAATAACGGAGGATGCCTCTAGGAGCCTGCCATGCTCGCCTTACAAACAACAACAACAAGCTTCCCCAAATACGGACGTCAAAGTTCCCCACAGTCCAACTTATTCCACAGATCCCTTATCTCTAGTGGGAAGTATCACTTCTTTTGGATCTACAGATACCAGCGACAGCGGTAGAAAACAAGGTAACAAAGAAACTATAACTAAGAATGTTTTGAAATCTCCTAGGAGAGCATCGGCGTCCGCCGAAGTAGGAAAATCTTGCCCTAAATCTCTGGTGGTGACAGCTAAGAAACCTCAGGACTACAGAAGTCGTAGTACTGTTGTAGCCATTGCCAGACGGAAGAGAACATCTTGAAATCAGACAGGTGTTATTAACTAGTCTCATAAATTTTGTCTGAACTGGAATACCATATTCCAATCTGATGCACGTAGACTGCACGCTGATATGATTAATCTGGGTGAGCAGCTATTATTCGATGGATTTGTGTATTAGACAATCCAGTGTTAACCCCGACCTACTCCAACTGCAGTGCAGCAGCAAACAACTAAAAGAAAAAGACTCTCAATATCATTCATTTAACACATTGAAAATTTGCGTTTTTAGTAAAACATTAAATGATGATTTTATCAATTTTGTTTTCGGAAGAAATATTTAACTTAAAGATCTAAATACTAAACCTTCTCCTCCAAAGTGGACTGATAAAACTGTAGACTAGCTCTTTTCATTTGACTGAGTCATTTTCTAACTAAATGTTGTGAACTGCTGAAAGAGAAAAAAAATCTGTTGTTTATAAACCGATATAAAACCCAAATCACTATGCAAAATCCCTTCACCAGCATTGCCTCGTGCTTAGTCCTAAGCTAACATCTGAAGAGAAAGCAGTAGATACCAACAAATTAAACTTTTTTTTTACATCAAGCGTAATATAAAACGAGTTAATAGTTTGGTCAAATTGTGTTTTTGTACATAGCGAGAATTTCATAAGGTTAGATTCAGATCATATTATCTGGTCTAATCTGTTCAGCTGAAAGCTTTTTCATTGCTGCGCGTAATTATTACACATGTTTTTGTAAAGAATAAATTTTATTTGGAGTGATTCGGAGACTGGCTAAAGTAATTACCGTAATTTTACTGCAATCTGTATAGTTATGTTTTGGCACAAATGCATCTAATGACAAGCGCGAATGCGAAAAGTAAAAGAATTCTGCATTCATGAGGACACTTCATTAAAAATCAAAATATGAAAAGACACGAAGTGATAAAACATATTTCTACTTGCCTGTGCATTTATCCAAAACAAATGAAGAGCAGTTGTGGTGTTTAAATTTTGCCTCATTTCTAAATTTTAGCTAACTTTAAAAAAAAACGCAACAAGTAAGTATTTGATCCTTTTGCAGAAAAACTAGACTGGAAAGCATCGCATTTGTAGTTCTAAGTTTTTTTATTACTTTTATATAAAACATTTCAAATCGTAATTGGAATATGCTTATGGAAGGCAATTAAAACGAAGGAAAATTAGTTCCTTTTTAAAAAATTAAAGAAATCTATGCTGATGAGTGGGTCAAAAGTTTGACAATGGTACTTTTGATACTATAATAAGAGTCAAAACACGGAAAATAAATTATTACAAAGATAGTTTATATTATATTGCATTAAAAATTCGTTAGAATTTAGGAACATTTGTTGTAGGTTACTAATTGTTGTTACAAAATTTAAGAAAACATTATTTCGACTGCAAATCTGCTTAAACTGGCAATAATGAGTATTCTTCTACTTCCAAAAAAAGTGTAGGTGACATTTTAATCTTAACACAGCGTTTCTGTTCTATTTCAGTGCTAAATGTATGGTACTCTGGATTATCATGTAAAAAACAATAATTTTATTCTTCAATCAAATGAACCACTTAGTAATTAAGTAATGTTGCAAATTATTAAGCCCGGTTTTGACGTAGTGAAACTATTTTATGCTCATGAACAATATCGTCATTGACAAATAAACAGATGATCCTAGCCAAATATTCAGTTTTTTATCTAAGTACATCATTAACATGTTAAATTCACAATAATCATTCAAAAAATGACCTTTCCCTAATTTTGAAACTATACTCTTTAATATATATTAAAATATGAATATTTAGTTTTGAATGTTCATCACTGTATGCAAGGAGAAATTTAAGGGTACTTACATGAGTAGATGTCAACAGGAGCCGCAGACCTACGTATCATAATAGTGGTAAAGAGTTCACAGTTCCTAAGGTCCACTTTGACAGCTAAAGAGTACATCACACAGATAGTCGCGTAAAGGCCGTAGTCGGAAGCCGATGCTTTACATCTTCTAAAATTAGGAGTTAATGTTCTCGCGTCCATTTCCAATCTCACACACCAATAATGAATCTCGAATTGCCTTTCAGTGATCATCATTCACCGGAGTCTTACATTCAGGACTTCGCTATGCCAGACATGTCATGGACAGCAACACTGAACACGGATCTTTGCTCAATCGTCATAGCCATAAGCCGATATTCCAAATCGTTAGGAATTTGAATGCTCACTCTTCCTTTACCCATTAAGGAACAATCCTGAAGAGAGTTTCGGTTGATCATCACTTGTGGAGTGAAATTCGGTATTTCTTCGCAATACACTTTCGTGACCAGAACACAGTACAGATAGTTGGATTTTCTTCTCAGAAGATTTATGCATTTAGGGCCTTCTCTTTCATCATACTCTAAATTATCAATACTGTTGATCATCTTCCACTAGGCCGACATATCTTCCGTAAATTTTCTTTTATCTCGCACAAGCTCGAGAATCATGACCGCATTACTCTGATCTCTCTGTTCCATTACCATATTACTTTCTCGCAGTTACCGGAAAAAGAAAAAAATTCGGTTATTAACTGTTCCCGCACTTAATAACAGCTTTTTTTTTCTTTTTCTTCTTCGTATTGCTTAACTCTGAGGGAAATACCAATTAGAATTTCTTCTTCTTGCTTTACGCTCTCTTTTCACGCTCCTTTCCATTTTCTCCACTAATCCAAGTAAGTGTCTTTTACGACAATATCTTTCTTATTTAACCCCTGACTTAATTATTAATTAAAAGCCATCTCCTAGGCCAACTCGTCACTTGAACTGAATTGGTCAATCTGAGTTACCCACAACTTTTTTCCAACCAATTATAACCGCAAAGGCATTTAATTTAGGTTCAGCATATTTTTCCTACTTCGCCCCAAAAATTTATATCCTATAAGAGACCAACTATAATAATTTTCACTGCATGGAAAACCTGCACCCGATAAAATGTCTCTCAAGAAAATAATATATCTAATAGACAAGCTGTCTAACTTTTGTTTCTTTACAGTACAAGGGTCATTTAAACAATAAAATAGTGCCATGCTCCAAATCAAGCCTTTTCCTTAGTCAAAGCTACCGCTATCTCTGACCAAACATAACGGCTTTCTTCACTAAAATTATTCAGCTTTTTCTTTTAGGCTTTCTCACAATTCTCGCGTAAAGCACTCTGTTCCTATAAAGCACATCCTTCCTCAAGCATCCCTCTGATTCTCTCTAAGGAAACAGATAGCATTCTCTCTCTCTTTGCGATAGATACAGAGTACGAAAATAACCCTTTATACGATGTATTTACCGGCACCCTCTTCCTTTCACAACATCCAACAAAAGAGCTAGTATTTTCCCTCGCTACGTAATATTTCTCAACTTTTTTTTATCTTTTCGTAATCCTTGAAACAAAGTTCGTGACTGAAGGAATCGACATTAAAATTAATGTATACGATTACGCTAAAATTAGTATGTATATTAATAGCCTTTTTTTTTTTTTTTTCAGTTTGATTCTGGTGAGGAAAATAAAAATATATAACTAACGAAGGAAATCTGAATGACGTGTTTATTCTTTCGCTTTAGCAGATTTCATGTGTTGGCACAGCATAAAGTATAGCCATTTGAGGAAATATTTGTTGCAAACTTTGTGTGCAAATAATCCTGTGAAATAAATGCACAGCTAATTAATAATAATTATTTGAATAATTAAGTCTCTCCTTTATTATAAAACTGCTCAAATATCCATGTTAAGGTTAATTAGCAAGAATAATACAGCAAATGTTTTCTTTCAACTATTTGCCATTTCTGTTTCGGATACCTAGTTTTAAATGTAAGATTTTATGTTTTATATCTATAATTTCTGAGATTCATTCTTCAACTACCAGGCCTGTCATAACTGCTTTGTTTAAAAGGTTTCAGATATTAAACTGAAATCATCATACCAAGATCAATTTCATTTTAATCTTATAATTTTCATGTTTTTTAAAATTTTCTTGAAGTTTTAAAATGTTGATATCGTTCAGGTGTTAGACAGGTGTTCAGGTCTGAAGTTTTCTTACTGCACTTTTCTTTCTATTATTACTAATTATACGTTGAAAGCTAGTTTGAACAAAATTGCTTAGGAAAATGAGTAAAATGCATTGTATTTTCATGAACTACCAAGAAACTGGTGTTGACAATAACTAAGTAAAAACATTTGAAACCAAAGTGACTTCTCAAAATACCTCATACGAAACTTTTCAACTTCCGCATTAAATAAATAAACAAATGAATGTAAACAAACAATTTTAAATAAATTATACATACGAGAATACGCTAAAACTAAATACAAATAGTGAATGAACCTTAAGCAGGCAAACTTAAACAAGCAGACAGAAGAAATAACTTTGTAACACAGTGAGAAAAAAGTGCACAAAACTTTCCTAAACTGGCAAAATTATAAACATATTTATACGTAAATAAAATTTCATACACAATGGGAAAATTTACTGAATGGGGTAACTTAATGAGGGATTGTTCCTGCGATCCAGGACGTCAAACCAAGGAGACCAGGCATAATGGTAGCGTACTAAAGGTTACACTAAACTTAGATTATAAGCAGCTTCTCTGTACATTTCTATAGATACCCCTCTCTACATTTTTAAATTTGCTCAAATTATAATATGCATTTTTTTTCTGCCTAACGATTTTTCTTTCAGATATTTCTGAAAAGCTTCATGCATATAGAGTTGATTTAGTTTGGTTTAATGAGTAAAGCAAACCACTTTAGGGCAACATGCCTGCTGCAGGTATGCTATCATAGAGTACGTTTTGAAGGAAACTGATTCGTATTCACAGTGCACATGGTGAAATCTATGAAACCTCCTGTGCAGCCAGCGTGTTAGTGGATATTTAAATCCTGGCCAAACTAGCAGTTTTCAGCTGTTTTAATGTTTGTCCAGTGCGGACCTACTTTCTAAGAGAAAACTGTTTACATTTGTGTTACATATGAACGAAATTACACAAACATCATGTAGGCAGTTTGTTTGTCATGACTTGGATCCGGTTTTTAGTGTTTAAACGTATTATTCATACGTGTGTAGTTTACAATATTAAATTAAGCATAAAAATTAGTCAAAGTGCATTTAGATACAATTTTATTGATCCCTACTTCTCACAGAAATTAGGACTATGGAGAAATATTGAAGTAGTAAAAACAGTAAAAGCAGTACAACTCGTAGAAACTATCCTGACATGATGAAAACTCCAACTTAACTCACAGAAGTTTCTGCTATAAAAAGCTGTTTAAACTCTATCTATTTCAAATTAGATGATTTTTCATGTTAATTTATGCTGATAATTTAGTAACAAATTGGAATTTCACTGTAATACTGTGTATTTCAAAATGAAGAATTAGATATAAGTTGTTTGCAAAATTCATATTTCTTGCAATATAGTATATGTATACATATCTTAGATATCATTTTGTAAGGGAAACAAAAATACCTATGTTTTTGTTTAAAATATTTATGTTCGTTAACACGAGATCTTTATCTTATCTCAGCTTGACGTTTTATCAAAGCTGGATCAATCAAAGTGCGCAAGACGCCTGTTTAATGGACTTTTGAACTCTCAAGTCTTTAGACCTGATCCTTTTTTCTCTTTGTCATTAGAAATTTGTCAGAGATATGCATTTTATGAGGCATACCTAACGAACTGTGTTTCCTTTTATAGTTTCTAAATTTGTTTTCCTCTGGAGCAAAGTTTATTGAGAAAATGTGATAGAAACGCATAAAATAAAATTTTAAACTGATAGTTTAATGCTGAAACAAAGACTCATAGTACATAAAACATGCAAAATAAAATGAAAATAAAAATATAATAAATAAACAAATATGGAAACTTATATAGACTAAATTTCAGTGTTTGAATGAAACAAATTGTCTAAGTATTACTAAAATATTGTCTAAAACGCTTGGTATTTATTTCATCTATGCTTTCGAAAGCTCTTTTAAAACACAGAATATAAATTTTGTTCTTTTTATTCATTTAAGGCTTTAAATACTTTTTTCTCAATGAATCATTTTATTAGTTACAAACAGATAAAATTTTCTACTACTTTTGTTTGCGAAGCTTCATTTAGTTTCAGTGTACCTTGTCGCTATACACAGACATATTTCCTAACCACAATAGATATAAAAAACTATTAGAATGATCAGTTACTAGAAAAAACAAAAATGAATCAAATTAAACAGCATATACGATTAAGGCATTTCATTCTTCTGATGTAAAAATTTGTGCAATCTAAAAAATTCCCCAGGCAGCTAATTAAAGACAGACATTTTTCCCCTTCTCAATTCTGCCTGCGTGATCGAATGAAAACTAATTCATTTTTTTAAACTAACTTATTCTGCTAATGAGACAAAAATTAGAAAAATTGATCTTTGATATCTTAATACATTTAATTAGACTTCAGTACGTTGCAATCTTCTCTTAATAATTTCGGTACTGCGCATTTTTATATAAATATTTCTCAGTTTAAAATATCGGATTGCCTTGCATAATACGCAGAATATTTTATAAATCATATACAGATAATAATAATTTTGATGAGATGATGTGACGTAAACAGAAGTTAACGATGGGCATCTTGACGTTCTTTTAATTTAAAAATAAGCTGTAATCTTTTTTTAATCATAAGTA